CTAATTTTCATGCCATATCGTTAAGGAGTACCATTTTGACTCGGTTATTGTGGATTTCTTATCAGTCAATATTAAAGATCTGGGAATGGGCTTGCAGTTGCACTATAATCTGTTGTTTTTTTTTTGTGTCACTGCTGGTTGGTGTAATTTGAGGAAAGTGTTTGATCCGAATCTGTTTTTCTTCTTGTTTTGTACGTGGGTAGTTTAATGAAGTGGTTGGATTCGACTTTTTACTCTGGAATCGTTAGATTAGCACGTTGGCTAGCTGTAATCGGTTATTGTTTTCACTTACAACTGTTACAAATCGTCTTACTTTTATGCCTTTTGGTTTCTGTTTATATAGATGGCTGGAACTTTTGGTTTTGGCCATGACTGGCTGGGTGAAGGAGCTTTTGAGGAATTATTGTAACAAGAATTTCAGAAATTGAGGTCTCTTGTGGCTTTTGGAATATTATTATCTCTGCATATTATGAGATTCCGTAGATTGTTCTTTAAAGAAATATCCATTATTGAATAAATTCTCTGTAGATATGCCATCATTATGCAAAATCTAACTGAGAGGCTTAGGCCCCTTGTGGCTTTGAAAGGCTAGGATTATTGTGTTATTTGGAAATTGAGTGAACACCAAAGGTTAAGAGGAACCTTTTAATTAACAGTTACTAATTCATGTTTCTTTTTGTGACTAATTTTTTGATTGGCTAATTTTTATTTATTTTATTATTTTTTAGGTTTATTGAGTTGATAGATTGTTGTTTTTCTGGGGCTGATGAGAACACTCAGACTAATGGAGGAAATGAACTTATTTTTCCAGTTTATCCAGTCCTTCCGTGCAGAGATACAATGCAGCGCTCAAGAACAAATTCCTATGATCTTCTTGCCCATCTTCCTTCTTCTCTGTCCTTGGACTCTGGGTACCTATATATCCTTTTCATTTTCGCATTTCTGATGACCAACAATTGATTGATTATATCACAGCCCAATGCAACATTTCACTGGAGCAAGACACCCTGCTTGGTTATGGCTGCAATACAAGCTTCCCTGTCAATATAAATGACATGAGCACTGAAATACA